GGATAGATATAGTAGGGTTAAAAAAAACCCAACAACTTCTCAGCTGCGTATTCAGCTGTGCCTTCTAAAATGACATAACTTGCGACTAGATTTAGAAAGTTGTTTCTCCCATTCCGACCCGAAAATGATATTTTAAGAGCTCAAGACGTGAGAGACTTTCAAGTTGCCCTCCCACCTACGTTCCATTATGTTGTTTCATGGTTGTAACAGTTTTGCGGCTCTTGCAACTGCATGAATTATTATGTGCGCGAGGGACACACGTTGGTTGTTTTCTCGTTAGTTCACAGCACGTCTTGGTTTTACTTTGCAAGTCAGATTGGTTGAAGTATCTGAAAACACGTAGTTAAAATTCAGTTTCAAAAGCGACAATTTACATTTCCAATCATGACACTTCACTATTCACATTTGGAGTAAAGACCAATGGTTCTGATAAAATTGAGAATTCTGTGGGGATCAAAGATGGAGAACAAATGTTTTAAATTGGTACGTTAAAAAGTATTTCCTTTGGGTGTTTCCAAAGTACGGATGTTCCATTAGGATGTGCCAGTCAGTTGTATTGCCACCCGCGCAATCCATTTCGTGGATGGTGATATTGCCATCTCTAGCCGGGAGTGTTGTCATGTAACAGGAATGTCCCACGGGTGGGCTGGCCAACCAATGAACGTTGGTCTTAGTGAGTGGGCGTCGTGGGAACGCTCTGCGACTGCAGCATACTCTTCATCGGAATTATAGAGGTTTAGTTTTAGTAAGAGATTTACTGTGGGTGCTTGGCAGGTGCTCTGGTGTGGTTTGCTTCTTCTTTCCCTTCAAACATCTATCGTCCTTATCTTCCCTTCTTCTTTTTTATGTTTGTTACTTTCTTGTAACACCTCTAATCTTCTGGCGCTCATATGACCTTATGCAGTAGCAAGCGCCGTAAAACCTCTACGGGAACTAAACTAAGAGATTTACTGCACTTGAAATACAAATAGGTCATATAAGTGCCAAAGATTAGAGGTGTTATCAGATAGTAATATGCAAAGAAATGGAAGAGGAGGAGAGATACGGACGATGTATGTGCGATAGGAAAAAAAGGAGCAAAACCATGCCAGAGCATCCGCCGACCACCAACATAATATAGAGCTTTAAATATTTGACATGCAGGGTACGAGACAGTCGCTGGAATCGAACATCCATCTAGAGATGGCGTATTATGGCATGTCAAATGTGAAAGATTTCTTAGTTAGCCTTACTGGTTTCTCGTGTCTTGGTGTCAATCGCTTTATAGGTAGATTTTTTTTAAAAATGAGAGGCTAAAATGCTTTGATGGCTTTCTTTAATATTTAAAAAAAAACAACATTTCTCAACTCTTAATAGCGCTAGTTTTGTGCAAAATGGTTTGTTGAAACACCC